TTCCCTGCTAAGAACCAGTAAGGTTTTGCAGCAGTGAGACCCCATTAGCATCCAGTGGACCTGATCCCCACGTCAAATGCGCAGAGGCCTCGTCCAGACAACAAGTTTGCCAAGGAATTGCAAAAGGCAAGACCGCAAAGTTTGCCATATGTCAGAGATCCTAGCACCTGACTTTTATAGAGACAGTACAGGGAAAGAAGGACGCATCACAGATGATGATGTGCAAAGCTCAGTTCTGCGCGGCCGTAGAAGCCTAGCAGCTGCTTCCTGCCCTGAGGTTTCTATCCACCTGCAGAGGGTTTGGAGACCCCACCTTCAAAAACCCGGATCCTATAGCTAGGGGCTTGGAACAGACGGGTGCTTGCACGCAAATGCCAATGCAGGGAAGCATGTTGTCAGGTCATCGCCACCCCAGATGTCAAAACAGTCGACCTGGTCTGCCCACAGTCGACTCTTGGAGCAGTTTGGGGCGTAGGAGTGTTGGCGGAGGTGCCCGAAGACTGGGCCTGCGTCTTGGGAAGCGATGGCATCTTCGATGCCCTCAGTGACCAGGCGGGCAGGTAGGCACGCACCACGCGACTGTCGACGACTATTACCAGGAGGTGGCAGACATCATTTGGCGTGCCATGGCCGGCCAGGGCAAGGATGCAGTCAGGCCAAGCGTCCAGTCTCAACTGAAAGGACATCAAGAAATGATAGCAAACGTCAGCTTGGACTTTGATCAGGGCGGCCAAGGAAGTCGTGCAGACGGCCCTGCGCAAAGGAAGCCGTCCTTGGCCCAGGTCGAAAAATCCTACAGCATCCTACAGCCCCTCTAGCCGTGCAGCGTCTTGCAGCTCCCGCCCCACCTCAAAGGTGATAATGTCACCGCTGTTATTTGCCGGTTCGGGTGGGTACGGACCTCACAGCTGTGCAAAGCAAAGTCTTGACTTGCCTTTGGCTAGCTGGGGATGAAAGGAATAAGTGAGAAAATGGAAACTACTATCTAACCGGATCCATTCCTTCATTCCCATAAACCCAATATATACCCTATTATCATATAGTAGTTTCCATGTTCTTTTGCATTATCCCTATATAACCCCAATACATTCCCCTGTTCCTCGAAGATAATAATAGCCAGAGGTAAGTTGAGGCATCCCTGCCGCATCTGAGCGAGAAGCCTTCTGCACAAGTCTTTCAGCTCAGGCCAGCCCTCCTGAGATGGACTCAGCGGTGGCTGCTGTCATCTCTTCATCTGGAGCTCTACATGGTACTTTCCCAAAACAGGGGGACCCCAGTATAGACCCCAAAATATTACAATCCTTATGATGGGGACCCCCAAATGGTACCCCGAATTTTTGGAAACCCTCACAACGAAATTCACAGGGTCATGTGCCACCAGTCCACCAATCTGTGTCATGTCTGGAGGATTGGAGAACACTGCCTTCGCTCCGCCAGTGGAGTGGGGGGCTTGGAATGGAGCCACGCGTGTCAGCATGGCAGGTACAAACATATATCGATCAAGTTCAGGGAAAGTTGGGTTTCAAGCTCGCATCAAAAAGAGGGATGCGATGTTGAGAGGCAACAGGTAGCACTTGGTGAAATATGCCGAGGGCTCTGCCCAACACTTGGCGCAGCTTTTGGATTTCCAATGGATACAGGGAGGCTTTTCTGCTTTCGCTCCTCAAGCCACGGCTTTTTTGTGGGTGACGCTGCCTTGTGCCCAAAAAATGCAAAGATGGCAGCGGAGCGCCTGTGGTAAGAGCAGCCTATCCAAAGCTAGATGCGTGTACCAAGTGCGGCCTAGCACGTTAAACATACAATTCGCCTACCAACATGTAGCTGCTGTTCGCAACTGATCCGCAGCTGAACTACAAAGAGGGTTGGCAACAGCCGCGCTTGGCCACGCAAAATAAGAATGCTCTTTGCAACGTGCCACCTGTTGTTCATAGTGGACCCCCGCTACTGTACTGTGACGTCAGCTGTTGGACTGTACACACGAGGCCATCTGATGATGTCAACATGTTCGGGCTGGGGTCTCGGTGGTCTCTGCAAGCAGGGAAGGAGTTACACCTTTCGCGCCGCAGGTGACGTCGCTCATGCAGCAGCGAATGCTCTGAGAGGGAGCTCCTCTTTTCGCGGCCATTCAGTCGACAGACACAAGCAGTGAGATGCAAAGAGAGATGGAGCACATCCACATGCCCTTGAATCTCAAATGAGATTGTGGAACAAACATGTGAAACTGCCTGCTGCGTGTGGCAGCCATGCTTTGGCACGAGCCATGTCTACAACCGTGACCAGAGACGACCCAGAAGCTGCCAGTCCTGAAGCCCATGCCAGTTGTCCAGACAAAAGACTCGCAAAGACCCGCTCCCAAACTGTTGACCCCAAGTCCAAACTGCTTTCATTCTGCAGCCATGCGCTCGTCTCGCTTAATAGCTTTGACAGACAGAGCAGTCCTGCGAGTTGCAGGCCACACCGCAAGTTCATTCTGGAGTTCTTGCAACTTGGGACACATGCTGCATGGCCCGGCAAGGTGAAAACAGCGGACAGTTCCTACAAGGCTTGTGCACACAAGACATGCAGAGCCTTCAGATCATGCGGTCCGCGGGCCATGCTGCAGCTTGGATGGCCAGGGTGCTCTTTTGATGTTCCCCTGCAGCCTTCAAGTTACTGCCCTGCCAATCCCAGGTGTTGCCAGCAGCCTTCCTCTCTCCCAAAGGCAAAGTACTTTGTGACACGCTGGTCCAGCAGGTGGACAAACACGAATACTTCGAACTTGGGTTGCACACCAGCTATCGTTCCTAAGGATACATGACTGAGCGACAAATGCGATGGGGATACTTGGCCGAGGTTGATTGCCACAAAGAGTCAGCAACGCCGCTGCTTCGGCTACTGCTGCGGCACCGCCTACGACAGCCGCTAACGATCGAGAATATCACAAAGAGCTCTTCAGCAGAAAGCTGCACTTGTTGTTGAGTCAACATGATGCCAAGCCATGCCGAAGTGCTTTGCTGAGGCTACCTGCCTTGTGCTGTGCTTCCGGTTGACGCAGAAGCCCAAGGTGAAGCAGAGACCAAAGGCAGCAGTTCAGCAAAAGGTGGGAAAGAAGTGCGGTTTCTTGTGTTCCTAGCCATGTTGAAGAGGCGAAAAGCTGGACCCCACGGATTTCTTTCCAGATCCTCGCTTCGCAGGGCTGGGCCACAGAGCAGTCTTGTCTACGAAATCATCAACCCCAGCACCACTGATGACAGTTTCTGACTACCACCAGTGGCGTGTGCGCTGTGGTGTTCCAGAGGGACCTCGTGATTTAAAAGTCGATGAGATCATGCCCTTGCATGTGAACATGGAGCTTTTAAACTTTGTGTCATTCTCGAAGGGCTGCTATGTGGGCCAAGAGCTTCTGACACGCACCAAGCACAGAGGTGCTGTACGCCGGCGCGTTTTCATCGCTGTTGCGGCTGACTATGGCTCAGATCAGGTCGCGAAGCTTCGACAGGTCCTGAAGCAGTTGGACCCCGGCTCCCCAGTAACTGCAAGCTGCATCATACCAATAGAGGAGCCTTTGGGCCATGATGTGGCTTCCGAGGCGTTGGCAGTGTTTTCCCGGCGTGACCAGTCTGACCTCAAGCAAATCGGGGTGCTCCAGTCAGCTTGCCAGAACTTGGCACTTTGCTTATTGCGGTGCGATGGGGATTTCAATCATCCCAAAAGCTTCGAGAACCCACCTGTGCCAGAGGACACTGAGATTGTGACAGCATCAGGTCGGTCACAAATACTGATGCGGGCTCCTCCGTATGCCTTTGTGCAAACAGAGTAGGCTCCAGACACAGCTTCCTGAACGCTTGCCAGCAAAAACAAAGCTTTGCCCGTGCAGCCTGCAAGGGGACCCACCCCTTTTCAATTAATTTTCATGGCACCTGCCCCAGCGGCTCCAGCATTACACGCCAGTCATGGCTCAAGTCAGGTAGTCTGTAGGGGAGATGGATAACCCTGATGTCTGCTCAAATGACCCGTACCAGGACATCAGCGACGAGTTTGGCTGGACACAGAGCGCAGGTTCCGCAGAGCCCGGGGATGCACAAAGCCATGACATGGAAGTGCAGGAAAGCACAGGCATAGAAGAAGAGGTAGACTGGGGCGATGATGAGGAGCACCATCACGATGGACACACGGATCCAGAAGATGGAGAACAGGAAGAACAGGAAGAGCGACAGCAGCTAGATGTACAACAGGAGACGGAGCTGAGTCCAGAGACTAAGCTGGAAGCTCCCTCCGAGCTCCCTGAAAGTCCAGCTGAAAGTGCTCAAAATGCTCAAGCAGCGGACGCCATTACTTTGGAGGAGGATGATGACGAGTGTCAGATCGTCAGCGTGGAGCTGAGTACGAGTACCCAAAGTACTCCAAATGCTCCGAAAGGAAAGGGAAAGGGCAAGGGCAAGTCTCAAGTGGCTAAAGGAAAAGCAGCTTTCAAGGCGGCACCCTTGAGGGCCAAAGGTGAGGCCAAAGGTGGGAAAGGTTCTGGCGGTTATGGCAAGGGCAAGACCCCCATTGCCAAGCATTACCCCCCTTGGGCACAGGCTCCCAAGGCGATGGTTGCTAAACCAAAGTCCAAGCCAAATGCAGCCCTGCAACAGCACGTGCCGCGGCCACCACCGCCACAGCAGCCGGCGCAACCTGCACAGTCACCGAAGCAGCCTGCTGCTCCACCCGTCAAGGCAGCTCCGATGTCTCCCCAGATTTCTGCAGACACACTTCTTGCAGAGCAAGTACGCATGCAGCTTCTGAAAGAGCCTGGCAAGCGTGCCTCCATGCGAAGGCTTCTCGCACAGCCCAAGGTGTCACAGCTTCTGAGGCACTTGAGCGGTTGTCGGCAAGTTGCTTTTAGCAGCATGCCTGCAGTCCTTTGCTCGCTGCTTCGCGAGTCTGCAGACACTTTTCAGCTGACAGAGGCTGGAAAGGAGGATGCTTCTGCTGCCATTCAGGACGTCAAGGTCAGTCTCACTGATATTGGTGAGAAGACTCCGTTGGTGGACAAGAAAAACTTTGACATGATTTGGTCCTCACTCTTTTCAGCCAAGTCCACCGTGTCCGCCCCTCAACAAAATGCAAAATCCGGTGCTAAAGCTGCGGAGACAGCGCAAGCGTCATCGGCAGGAAGCTCCGCCGCTCCGGCGGCTCCCCCGTTTGCTCCCCCGCAGAGCCCGCAGAGTAGTGAGGTACTGGCCAGGAATTTGAGCAAGCAAAGAGCCTTGCAGCAGATCCGGGATCTTGACGACAGAAGTGCACCCGGGGTGTCTACAAGGGATGCCCCAGATGGGCCACGGCCACCTAGCATGCCCCCGCCGAATTACAAGGCGGACTGGAAGCGATTTCAGCCTTCAACTAAGAGGGTGCTTGCTCCACGCAGAGCAGGCTCAGCAAGTAGCCTTGAAGATGCCAGCGCGCCAGCTTACCCTGAGCCCCGCTCCTTCCCCTCGCCTCCAGCAACACCGCCAGGGCATCCGCCAGCGAATCTGCCTCTGCATTCGCCAGCGCATCCGCCAGCACATCCGCCAGCGCATTCGCCGGTGCATCCGCCAGCGCATCCACCAGCAGCAGCACCCGGACAGCTTGGGCCGCGTCCTCCGCATGGGGTGCCATCCCTCCCGACTCCTCCTGCAGGACCACCTCCTGGGCGTGGCGGGCAATCAGGCCCAAGGCCTCACTATGGGAGCCAACAGAGGAATGGTGTGCCCGAACCTGTGGACAATGAGGGGCGGCCCTTTGATTTAGAACGGGTGGTAGTGAATTTTGCCAATGTGGGGGCAACGTACGGCAGTCGTGTGCTCAAGAAGGACAAGCAGAAAAACTCATACCTATTCGATTACGAGGGTGTCAGAAGATGTGTGAAACACCTCACACAGAAATGCAAGCTCCGAGTCATTGGTGTGATTTTCGAAAATTTCCATGGAGATGAAAACGGGAGGGAGGTCTTCCAGGTCCCCCCTGACATCTCGGCAATGTGTGAAAGTATTGAGCTGACGCCTCGTCTGATGGGTCAGCGACACAAGAGTGCGGATGATGAAATGACCATCAAGTGCGCGTACCGGAGGAACTGTAGGTTTCTGGATAATGACAATTACCAGGACTGGCGGAACTACCTAGCAGACGAAGCTGTTCGAACTTGGCTTCTCCATTGTCAGGAGTTCTTGCAGATGAAGTTCTTGGGCTGCTGATAAGGAACTTAAGATAAAGCTGCCATAACATTGGGTGTATATATATATATAGTACTCATAGTAGGGTTTCCTTATTCTAGTTTTTGTGGTTTAGTTCCTTTGCAGCACCCAGGTTCTACTTTGACTCCGGACTCGGCGACTTCGACATACTGGAAGGTAACATCCCAGCGGCGTGGCTAGCACAGGGCCCAGCCAAACGCATGTGCACGAGGCCGTGGAAATGAGCGCAGGAAAATCGTCCCTTCAAGTTGCTGAGCACGAAGCATTCCAAAGCTGAGCCAAGTAATATGATCTTGTAAGGGAATGGCAGCTTTGCTTCGATGTCTTTCCGGTTTGGCTTGAGCACATGATTACATATTTGAGGCTTTCATTCAGCTTAAAGCTTCTGCGCATGTGGTCTTGTCATCATGCTCGCTCAATGCAATGCTCTGCGTGAACGCATGGGCGCTTCAGTGTTAATCCGTTTCCTCACACCGAGCAATATTTGAAGACATATAGTGGCATTTGAAGCAAATATATTTGTAGGCCGCAGAGAGAGCGTAGCCCAAGCAAGATGTTGCACCGGCCCGAGAGTCATCCTAGAGCTTACCCTGTCATCACCAGGCTATCATCGTGGAAGCAGGGGGACTTACCACATCAAGCACAAAGAAAGGAAAGCCTCTGATCATTCGGAGCCGGAGATCTGCTGCGATGTTGCAGCATAAAGGTGACAAGGAGTTACAGATCTCAAATCTCACAGCACCGAAGCACACCAGGGGCGTCAGCCTGCTGCCTCGCGCAACTGTCAAGGATTTTAAAGCAGCCACTATGTGCATGTAGCCATCATGGATCCACAACGTTAAGTTTCTTGTTGCAGCCCATGGCTCGACCTGCTGGTCATGAGCTCCGACTGGCAGAAGCTGCTTGGAATGCTCGGAACATTGGTAGACTTGGCCAGGCCAATCTTTGCGGCTGACGGCTGCTCAAGATGGAAAGCTGAATTGGATATACCCGCCAGCAGACATCCAAGGCTTGCAGACCTCTGGTACCGCAAGCGCGAGGCAACGCTAGTGTAGTTCAAAGTCTCTTCTTCCAGGGCAAATCGTTGCTAACGCTGGGCAGGTCTATCCAGCTCAATGGGCAGATGATCCTGATCGGCTTCACTTGTGCGTCGTGGCTGGTGCCCCATATGGGGGGTTTCCTGGCTGGAGTTTAGTCAGGCTTCTTCGGCAGCTATACTATTCCTTCCATCGAAGCCGCAGGCTGAATGTTCTGCTGGGCTTGTGTCAGGCCGGTGGCGACGGTGCGGGACGAGTGCCCCTGCTGTGTGATGGAGTGCACAGTGCCTGCACGGAGTTCGAAACATCTGAGGCATGTCTTCCAGCCTGTGAAGGGCAGCCTTCGGACAGAGCTGCAGACCTGGACATCGGCTGGCAAGCTGATTCAGTCCGCGCCATGGACGCACACTGGAACCTTGGCAGAAGGTGAGTTGAAGCCAATTTGGCTAGTGTTGCTTGGAGTGCCTCCAGATGCCGGATGGTCCTGCAAACTGTCAGAAAAGACCGGACACATGGCACGTTAAACCCGTCCCAGGCTTGCTTGCCATGGGCTGGAGCGCGCAGGAAACCTTGGCACCTCGCTGTGCACCATGACATGCTGCAATCCGCGATGTGCAGGGCCATGATGCGCTTTCCCAGTGAGCCAAGGTATGCGTGTTCGAATCTGGCCTAGTCCGAACGTGGACGGCTCAGGGATTGGCAAACAACATCTCTATGCAACGCAGCATTGCTGCGCGTGGCCTGCCGGCCTTGAGGTTTACTGTCATGTGCGAGCCTTTGCATGTCTTCACGGTGGACGAGCGCATCAGCTCAGAGGGTGGGGCTGTTGCGGCTGCTCTGTGGCCAAACGGAATCGCAGCTCGCAGCAGTAAGAAACTATGGAGGTATCAACGCAAGGGTGCACAAGTCCAGGTTTGTGCTGAATTAAGGCACTCCTGACGCGCAAGTTCAACATTTTTGTGAACACTTCCTTGACTCGATCAGAGGATGCTGCTTGGGCCTTGAAACTTATTCATTGGCTGTGGGCAAAAAGTTGGAAGGCAATCCACAATCACAAGCCGGGGAGGTGTACTTGAAAGACATTTTGTAATAGGTCTGAGGAAGAAGTAGAGGCGAGCTCACACCCAGGCATGTCAGCGGTTCGCCGACTTCAAGGTACCCAGCGCTGCTCGTCAGCACCTGGCTTGTGCTGCAGGATTCAATTTGCCAAGTTATCACTTTGGCACAGCATCTGAGAAGCTTCGAAGCCTGTGTAGCCAAGGCACCGCTCAGCTTGTGTGTGCTCCCACCGCCTTCAGAAGAGTCAGCAGCATCTGAGCATAAGCTGAGGGGAGGGGGGAGGCACGCCGGCCAGGCGAGGAGCCGTGAAAAGCAGCAACCAAGGACGTGCAGGTTATCGTCGGCACTTCCGAGGGCCCTGTCCTCATGGTTGACAGGCTCCTCGGCCATGGCTTAGCTTTCTTGTGCAACGGCCCCTGAGAAGCGCAAAGACGTAAAGCAAGCTTACGCCTTCCCGAGGCACAGCTGCAGTTGCTTGGCTGCAAAGTGAGCCCAGCGCGGCCTAGCCAGTCGCCGTGTTTTTGAAGGAGATATCGGCCTGAGTGATGGGCCATTCATGGCTTTCTCACTCTCAAGTAGCGGCCGGCTCCTGGCCTGCTTGAGCACCAAGGGCGTGTTCAAAGCCTTGCGCTTAGCCTATTGTGCGTTACAAGGTTGAAGTATGTTGAAGTGCCTGCCCCCCAAAAAAGCTCAGGTCCTATCCGCCGGTGACAACCTCCGGGTCCTGGACACCCAGTGCTTCATGGCATGTTGAGACGCATATCAGTCTGCAGGCCAGCGCTGGACGAAGCGCGGTGCGCATGAGCTTTGTACGCAGGATGTTGCCAACATTGTGGAGACGATCAAGAAGCCAAAGCAAATGGTGTGGTGCGCCCGCCTCAAGAAGTAGTAGATCGAGAGTCGGCCGCTGGAACACAAGCCCACTGATGCGTCGCTGAGGCGGCGACGACTGCATTGCCTTGTATCTGATTGCGCAAACACCTTCAAGCAGTTCTTTCCCGAGATGCTGCTTGCATTCGCACAGAATTGAACGTGAGATTCGACAACCAAGGTTTGCAGCACATCCTTTTTGTGGGAGGCCCCCAGATCCTTGGTGTTGACTGTCAGGGCTCTTCGCGCACCATGCCAACATCTAATTGCATCGAATCTGTGTTGGTTGAGCAAGTCTGCCAAGCAAGGAATGACTGGATACCGTACCAGTACGACACGCCCCTACATCTTGTGTCTGAGTGCGACGGCTGCCGGGTACTTGGTACAAACAAGATCGAGTTTGTGCAGCGCGTTCCTCCAAGCGTGGAGCAGATCTTCAGCATTGGCAGCTTTGATCCGCCAGCAATGCTTTGCTACGCGCTGGAGCGATTTGAAAGTGGAGATGTCTGTGCCCAGGAGTCCCTTAGACCCATCAAGGCAGAACTACCAGAAGCTGTGGCAACCTGCATTGACGCTGCCCTCTGCGAGCAGCCCCCACAAGCCTGCGACCTACTCAGGGCCGCCAGTTTCGGCAGGCATTTCCTATCAGAGACCTTGGAGCCTGATCGGCACAGGGAGGCTTGCACAAATTTGCGGATCTGCACCGAGCTGCGCAAGTCCCCAGTAGAGATTCCCATCACCTCTGCCCAACTTGACAAGCTTGGCATTGCAGGCCGGCAAGTTGGCCAAAAATGAACTGAGACTAAGTTCTTTGATAAATTGTGTTTGGCCTGGTACCCAGGCATGAGCCTGAGATTGGCACAACGTCACTTCCACTTGCTTGCGATTCGCATATGCGAGTGGACTGGGCACTCGCAGGAGAAGGTCCTCTATCATTGGGCGTGCGAGAAGATTCGGCATTCAACAGCATACACAGATGAGCAGCTGTGCCAGATCATCCTGAGCAAGTTTCAGCGCTGCCCGGGCATCGGATGCTATCCTTAGCATGGCAGACGCGTTCCTTCTTTTGCACTTCTTTTGCCTTGTCAGGCAACCACGAATCAGCGGAGTGTGGAAGTTTGTTAGTGTTTTGGACCCGTTGCAACTACAACTGTTGGAGATCTACATGATATCCCCGAAGCCAGGAACCAAAGCATATTTTGAATATATTGTTGGCCTTATTGGGGAGCAGCCTTCATGAGCTCAGGATACGCAGAGGTGGCACGCGTCGCAGCCGAAATGGTTAGAACAGTCTTGGCCACTTCTCTTCTCAATCACGAGCCACGAAGCCATGCACAAGTGCAGGTTCTCGTACAACTAAGCCAGGAAGGGGATGAGAAGAACCGTGAGATCATGCTTCGCATAGCCTTGGACAAAGCGGCGCGCAGCTGGGATCCTGACCTGATCCACCTTGCATTGTCAGCTGCCAGTGGAGGCAGCTTGTGCAAACGCGGCGCCGATATCCAAACTGTAGCTCGTCTCGTCAAGGAAAGGCCCTACGAGTTGCAGGTTATCGGCGATGTGGTCACGAGCATACTGTCCAAGGCAGAGCAATTCGATCGTGCCCGTATGCTCTGTGACCAGCTCGACCGCAAGCGTGCTGCTGCATACTGCGCTTTGCAGCGAATCTACCGTCAACCCAACTACGAGGAGCGGATGAAGTTACTTCGCTTCTCCAAGGATCTCTTTGCCATCCATGATCCAACTGCACCAGATGCTGAGAAAACCTCAATGCAGTTTGCTTCTCAAGCATGTGCCGAGGAGATTGACTTGCTCCGGGCGCAGGTTTCACTTGAGGACCAGGCTGCGAATAAGCACTGGAAAGGCAATACTCGCTTCGCGGGCTTATCGTTGACGTCAACGCTTGTGCGGCTGATTGAAATTGGTGAGGTCTTGGAGGCAGATAACCTGCGCTCTCAGATGAAAGTGCCAGATAAGAGGTACTGGCGGATCAAAATCCGCGGCTTGAGCAACGCTGCCAATTTCGAAGAGCTCAACTTGTTCGCCACACACCGTACGTCACCCATCGGGTACGAGCTGTTCATCGAAACTTTCCTGCTCCTTGGATTGTTCAGCATGTTTTTGCTCATGTCATTTTGCTTGGGGCGCCGTTCCTGTCGTACCAGGAAGCATGGGCGAAATGACTTTGCGCTGGCATTGGTTCCACAGGTCAAAGGTGGCGAGCAACAGGCACAGTATTACCTGCGCATGGGTATGGCTGAAGAGGCTCAGAGGGCGCGGAGTCAGGGACAGGAACGCTCCGGAGCCGGACGTTTGCTGAACATTCTGGGAGTGGGGAGATGACACTGGAATCCTACTTTCAGCTTAGCCCCAGGCAAGGACTGCAACAAGCTCAGGCAGCCAAAGGCCAGGCGACAAGAAGATCAGGCGGATGGAGATGTACAAGACGCGAAGGAGCACATCTCCTGCGAGGATTCCTGCTGACTCGCTTGAGCAAACGGAAAACAAGCTTGTCCCTGCAAGGGCTCTGTGACTTCGTGTGCACCAGATGCATTGCCCTCTAGGTTTTATACCACAAGCAGTAGCAGCCACACAGGCTTTTGGCCCAAGCATACAGTAACGCATGAGGTCCTAGATGCCTTGTTGTATGTCGCCTGGCGTCACAAGACCAAAAGGCAGGACAGAGTCAGCTGCAAATGGCATGATGCCAAGGAGGCACTTCAGACAGATGATGCCGGCATATGTTTTGTTTCTCAAGTCTTGCACTGTATCTGGTTTGTTGCCCTCACCGCGAAGTGCTAAGTCCAGAGCAAGCAGGCTGCCCGGATGAGTACCTGAATACCGAATGTTGCTCACATTCCGACTTTCTGACAGTTGTTCGGGACCTCCGCTCAAATGATTACGAAGAGTCCCAGAATCTGCTATGGAAATTTCTTCGTGACGTGGACCTCTCAAATTCTGAAGCATGGTATCTATACTCTACAGGCTTTGCACGCAACATCAACTTGAAGACGTCCGAATTTCTTGCCAGCGTTGACAAGAGACCCTTGCGCGAAGCGCGGGACGGCGCCACGCAGCTCAGCCGTCTTGTAAGCAAAGGCATGTTGCGCCTTGAAAGTTTCCAGCAGTTTTGCCTGTGGCAGACGGCCACTCGCAGTGGAAGGCAGGTCTTGAATGTCCAGCCCGGTGAGTGTGAGCATGACGTGTTGTCTTTGTACAAAGAGACTGTGGCCAACCACGATTTGCTTGCCTATCAGCTGATTCCAAGCCTGGCTTATCTCCCTCAACTGCAGCTTCCAGATGTGTCATCAATAGTGGTCACGCTTCAGATTGTTTGTGTGGGAAAGTGGGCCAGGCAGGGCATTGGGACTTTGCTCAGCATTCTTCATCGACGGTCCACTTTGCTCAGGATATTTGTCCTTGGTGATGCTGAGGGCTGGGAGGAGTTGCACAAGGCACTGCAAGAAGCGCTACCATCGGAGCTGGAACTGACGGGCGTGGGTTTTGAGCACATAAACTTTGAAGAAATGCCACAGTTCCGGACCTACATGCCACTCGGCAGGATGATGTTGGTTTTGATTCACCGGTGTGCTGCCTACTGAACCATGAACCATTCACACCATCTCAGTCCTTGATGGTCCTTGTGCTTTGGCATCTAACGCGACAAGGAGCCAGTACCCAAACGACTGCTTCTTTGCAAACTCTATCGAGAAGGCCATGCTGGCGCGGATCCTTGGCCACCTTCTGTTTCTCAGCTGCATGGTGTAAGTGGGAGTGGCCATCCTCTCCATGCTGGATCCCGATGCTTCCGACGAGAAAAGGTTTTGCCTCACAAGTGACCAATCAGCTTGCTTTTTTCATCAATTGCGAGCTGCAAGAAAGCAATTTAAAGAGAACTCCTGAAAGAGTTCAGCTGGGCCAAGGCTTCCCGAGGATGTGGACCAAATAATCTCCATTGACGTGGGAGATCTGCTGGTGCTGGATGATATTCAGGAGTTGTGGGAAGTTGGTTCCACTTCCGGGGATCACTTTCTGGCAGCAGCCTATGCAGCACCGCTCCAACATGTCAATGCTGGAACCGTCGTGTACAACCTTAAAAAGATGCGCCAAAGCAACTTCACTGACCTGACCTTGCTAGCTGCCTCCTATGGTCTCAGGAAGAGCTCAGATCATCAATGCTTGCGCGATCAGGGGATCCTGAACCTCCTGAGTGACGAGCTCTTCCTTGGAAGCATTGGCATCCAGCAATCTGTTGTGCGGTTTCTTCCTTGCAAGTGGTCCCTGTTCCCCAGCTTGGACTGGCATCCAGCATGGGAGAAGCCAGAGGTTTGGCCTCCAGACATGGTAAGGAACCGCCGTTACCCAGGCATTGTGTCCGGGGACCGCGTGGAGCACTACTGCCCCGATGTCGCAGATTTGCTTTCCGCCTTTGCTTTCGTCCCACTCAGCGGATCCAGACAAGCACGGGTAAGGGAATATGCAATCTTGGGCTCTCAACCGGAGGCCCAAGAGTGCGGGAATCAAAAAAGAAGAACAAATCTCTAGTTTTACTTGCAATCGTGCCTCCGCCGATGAAGCCTCTGCAGACTGAGAAAAAGCAGCCAGGTGAGAGCAGCCGATTTGAATGTTTTGCGTGAAGCCTTGCAGAGGGAAGCCTTTTGAAATTGGTACAGGCGGAAGCTGCCAGGGGCTTCGTCAACATAAGGCATGCTAAATGGAAGGGTTGCCGTGGAAAACGCGACCCATGTCAGTGGACAAAAAAACACAGGCAAGGCCTGGAGAGCTCGCCTGCAGCACGATCCCATGCACACAATTCATCACAATTCTACAAGAGCGGGGTGTTGAGCCTGCCGGGCCATGCCGTGGCCATGCTCTTATGTTCTAGGCGCCCAGGCATCAGCCTGCTGGGTTTATGGTCGAGGGATGCAGCAGAGGTCATGACATGATTGCTGTTTTCAGTTGGAGGCCCGATACTGCACTTCACAACGCCTCGGCAATCCTTGCTGCTCATGTGGGGAAGCAGCCGCGCTTGTGCACGTGGCTGGTGATCTCAAAAGATGGCCAGCCATGCGAAAGCTGTTACATGCTCACCTGCCAAGCGACTGGCTTGGAACTTCTGAGCCGCTTGAGCCCACAGAAGCTGGGTTGCTGTCAAGGTAATTAATGTAAGTTACAATATTGGGGAAACCATATTCATTACGATATATACCCTTTATGGTAACTTGATTCAAAGTACTTAAGGGTGTAGTTTTGTTTTGTTGTTTTTTGTTCGTGACTTTGTTTTGTGGCTGGGGGACCGGAATCGAAGGACGCCTCACACGAAAGCGCGATTCTGCGGCAAAAATTTCAGGACTGATGAAAAATCATGAAAAATAAGATCAAATGACAAAAAGTGATGCAAATGCTAGAAAAGTGATAGAAAATGAAGAAAAACTCAGTGAAAAATGTGAAAAATCATAAAAATGAAAGAAAATGGAAGAAAATGATGAACTTATTGAAGAATAATGACAAACGACCGGAAAATAATAGAAAACACCATAGAAAATTACGAAAAATCAGGAACAATGATGAACAATGATAGAAGGTGATGAAAAACTATGAAGATGCGAACTTATGAAAAATGAAGCAAGTTATGAACAATCATGAGAACTGATGAACAATGATGACAAATGATGAAACAGAATGAACAATCATGGAAAACATTTAAAAATGATGAAAATGATGAGGATTAAAATGATGGAAAAAAAGATGAACGTGATAAACAGTATGAAGACTGATGTTGAAGAATGATGGGAAAGTATGAAAACCATGAGAACATAAAGCATGGATGGCATGAAAGGCCGGGGGGGCTGGGTGCAAACAAAACGATCCAAATAACTGCAGCAAGCTTGGATGGCCTCACAAAAAAAGGGGAGTGGGGACTACTACTACTACTACTACTACTACTATTACTACTACTACTACTACTACTCCTACTCCTACTACTACTACTTCAGGAAGGTACAGAAAGCGAGAAACCACAGAGTTAGAAATCGAAGAAGCCAGAAAGCC